TTTTGTATTTAAAGAAATCCTGCCGTGAACCCTTTTGCAAAGAATGCCTTCCTAATGATATTAGTCATCACTGAGTCTCTTCTCCAAAACTCGGATTCGTGATTTTGTCTAAGCGAGATCTGGCCGGCGAAGTCAGATAAATTATAGATGCCGCTAATAAATTATAAAGTACTCAAAGGCAAAAGAGAAAAAAAAAAATGACACGTGTATGTAAACCGGATTGATACTGGGAGTTCTTTTAAAGTGGTCTCCACCGGCATAATCATGGCTGGGATCCTTGGTTAACACACTCCTAGGGCTAGAAAGTCAGCTTCTGTGCAACTGGATAGTGAACAAACGAACGAACAAGAAAGAACTCGAAGAAGCTTCACAGAGTTGAAGCAAAGGGCCATTTATGAACAAATGCTCAGCCACGTTCTGGCCCCGCCCCGCCCCGGTCGCCCTGACAACCGCTCCGGCGTCGGGGCGGTGTCTCGAACGCGCGGCCATCTTCCCACAGGCCTCCGCGCGCACGTTCGCGCATGCGCCTCGGAGCTGGCGTCCTGCGGCCGGGACTCAGCCTCCCAATCAATGTGTCTTGCGTGCGCACGCTGAGAGCCTGGCGGAGCGGAGATTGAGGATCCGAGAGGCCCAGGAAGGATGAGAAGCTTGTCTGGGCGCCTAGTTGGTGCTGAGCGCCCTTGATGGGGGTCCGGAGAAAACCTTCGCCTTCCAGACCAGCCCTCTCCCTCAAAGGTTTGAGATCGTGGTCCAGTTCCGTGGTCTTCCAGCCTCAGTTTCCCCGTTTGTAGAAATGACTGTTCACAGCCCGTACCTCAGAGGCGGCTTTGAGGATTTAGAGAATCCGGAACAGGGCAGGCTCCGTGGTGAACGCTCCGCAGGCCTTCGGGGTGGGAGTGGTGGGTGAAGGGACCCCCACAACAGCCCGAGGAGGTGGCTAAAAAAAAGAAATTAATGTGTAACAGCCACTTACGAAAAAGCTCAAAAAACTTGCCTCTTTTATTCTCCTGACTTGGAAGGAAACTAAGGTCCAGGAAAGTTAACTGACCCACCCAAGGGGCTCGGATAGTGCCGGGCGGAACATGGAGGAGAAGGGATCCACTCTGGGGTAACCCCCACTGGAGAATCCTGGGGTGGAATGAACCTTTGTGCCTCCAGGGGTGCCCCGGTTATATTTAAATGTTGAGGGTGAGCAGAAGGAGGGCGGACAAGAAATAGAATGCCCAGAACGCTCCAGACACCATCGGGACTATAAATGTGATGGGAAAAGTGTTGGATTTAGGAGCTCAAAGTTGTGCACCTTTTGAAACAACACCTTTGCTGGCAAATTCTTCAGCCCACGTGGCATCCCCATCCTGGTCAAGCTTCCTGTCCAGCCTGAGCCCCCGTTTTGGTGCCTGTGCCTCTGATGGAGGGTTTCTTATCCTTGGCATTTGGGGCCAGCTCGTTCTTTGTAGTAGGGAGATGTCCTGAGCACAGAAGTTGAACAGCAGATCTTACCTCTACTCACGAGATGCCATGAACACTCCCTCCCAACTCAAGTCACGACCAAAAGTGTCTTCAGATATTGCCAAGTGTCCCCCGGAGGCAAGATGGCACCTGTTGAGAACCGCTGACCTAGAGGCAAAAATTAAAAGACAGATGAATCTGTTAATTGTCACTAAATAGATCTGAATCCCTTAACCATTGTCCTCTGCCAGAAATCATATATTAATGTATTAATTCTCTCACTGTAGAGATTCCTTTGTTTGTTTGGAACCTCACTCTGTTGCCCAGTCTGGAACTCATGGGCTCAAGCGAGCCTCCTGCCTCAGGTGGCATGAGCCACCACACCCAGATACTTTTTTCTATTTTTTGTAGAAACGGGGTATCACTCTTGCTCAGGCTGGTCTTAAACTCCTGACCCCAAGCAACCCTCCCGCCTCGGCCTCCCAGAGTGCTAGGATTACAGGCCTGAGCCACGGCACCCAGCCATGGAGATTCTTAAAATATGTTCTGGAAACTAGTTGACCTGATTACATGGATTGATTGGATTACATGAAACACAACGGGTAGTTGTAATGGGCAGTTCAACTCAGGACAACAAGCGTTAGCCAAGAATCAGGAGGCCTAGCTTCTGTCCCTAAGTCTGCCATTACAAGCTCTGTGACCTTGTCACTTCCGTGGTCTTTTTTCCCCCTCTGTCAGATGAAGATGTTGAGGTGATTTCTAAGGACCCAGAAATGCCCAGATTCTATCATGATGCCCACATCCCTCCCCACGGAAGTTATTTAAGCCACCCAGCCTCTCCCCCAGTGCCCTCCTCACCTCCAAATGTCTTTTGTTCTTTTCCTCAGCCTCCCAGCCTGGCCCCCTAAACACATCTTTCAGAGTCTGTTCCTCCAGGCTGTTGTTAGTACTCAGACAAACTCATTATTATTCCTGATTCTAACAAGTAAATTATGGTGGTGTTTAACACAGGAGTGGCAGGGGCTTGTTTGTGGGAAATTATGGTGTTTAAGCACAAGACACCCTGGTGTTTGCATGAGGAAAAATAAAATAAAATTAAAAACTGGCCTTTCAAAGTGCTCTGTGATGTGGTGGTTAAATTATAGGAGTATCCCAGGTCTTTACATCAGTTCTTCTGACCTGGCTAATATTCATACAAAAAGCTGAAGTTTGTCCCTATAATTAAGTGTCTTCAGCATCCACCTGCCTTCCCGTGTGCTGTGCAGATGCCAGCTTGGGATTATGGGTTAGAAGAGTCTTATGTCCTACCCGGAAGGAGCAGGAACTTGAAATGAGGAATTGGGATATTGCCCATAGAGAATGGTCTGCCCGGGATAACCCAAACTGAACCTGCTAAAACGTAAGCTCTAGAGAGCGGGGGCTGCCTGTTTTGTTTAGCGCTGCATACCCAGCCTCTAGAGCTAAGCTCGGCGCCTAGTACTGTTTAGTAAATATGTTGACTAAGTGAATGAATGAATGAGTGGACAAATGAATGAGTGAGTGAAGAGTACGTGGAGTATTTGAGTAAGTAAGAAATAAAGTGAATCTAAATATTTTGCTTGAGGTTTAAGGCCATGTTCCAACTTTCTAGAAAGTATTTGCATGTTGGACAGCATTGCCCTCTTTCTTCCTCCCTACTCCTTGCTGTTGATGTTTTCCTGTCCGCTGCCCTCACCTGTTCTCTCACCTGACAAAGCAGCTCCTCTCTCATCTGGGTTGGCTGTGTGTGGACAGCACACCATCTGGGTTCTAGAGGGCAGTGTTTATGTGTTCCTGGTGGCAGAGGAAGAAGGAATTGATTGCGTTTGGGGGGGCTGTGCTTCTTTCCCGGCCGTGCCTCATGTATCTGGGGACTTGGGTGAGAGGCTGTGATGTGATGGGCCTGTTATGGATCAGAGAGGAGGCAGTTCTGTGGTCCCTAATCCTCATTCCCGCCCTGAGCCCTACCCTGTTGCATCCTGGCCTTATCCAAGAGGCTTGTTCCAAGTGCTCGTGGTTTGCTGTCTGGAAGCATCACCTTAACGCAGGTAAGTCAGAACAGGCGGACATGTTGAAGAAATCCAAACTCAGCATCAGGCATTGTGCTAAGTACCTTCCCAGTGTCATCCTGTGAAACCGCTGCTGAGTTATAAAGATCATCATCTCCGTTGATCAGTGATGAAATTGAGTCGTACGGTAGTTTACTCGTAAGTGTTGGAGCCCAAATTCAAACCTCTGAATCTGAAGTTCAGGACTTGTAACAACCAGGAAGCGGATGACCAGGGTTCAGACACAGGCTGTCCCAGCACCGTGTCCACAGCTGCTTTGCATCTGTTCTGATTGGGAGTCAGACTCGTATCCTAAGATAAAGCTTTCACCTTAATCCCTTAGGCCCCAGCTCAGCAAACTATCCAGCCGACCACCTGGTTTTGGAAATTCAGTTGTTTTTTGGTTTGTTTTTATTGAGACAGAGCCTTGCTATGTTTCCCAGGCAGGTCTCAAACTCCAGGGCTCAAGTGATCCTCCTGCCTCAGCCTCCCAAGGAGCTAGCACTACAGGTACGAGCCACTACACCCAGCTCATTTTTTTCTGTAGAGACAGGGTCTCGCTATGTTGCCCAGGCTGGTCTTGAACTCCTGGCCTCAAGTGATCCTCCCACCTCAGCCTCCCAAAATGCTGGGTTTATAGGCTTGAGCCACTGCACCCAGCCAGATTCATCTGTTTTTAAGGGACATCAGAGGGCCATGAAGTATACCGATGGATTTGTGGACACTTAGCGGTGAATAAAGGACCCCTGCCACAAAGCCACAAAGCCACTAAGCGAACAGGAAATGTCCACCTTGTGGCATCTGTGTTGGCAGTGGGGGCAGCATTCCTGGCCTCCTCCCAGCCATGAGCAATAAAGCCTTGAGTTATTCAAAGGCTTTTAGAAAAACCAGAAATGCTATGAGTATCTCTGTATCCCCACTTCCTTGCTCTCTGCTCAAATTTCAAGAACAGTGAAGTTCCAAGAGATTGTCAAAGCCATCCCATTGCGCAGCAGGTCACTTAAAATAGCAAACAAGCAATCCAGCCAAGAATAGAACCCAACTGCTCCTGAGAATCCAGTTTTCCCAGCCCCATAAAGGCACAAACACCTTTAAAAGTCCTTTGAACCTTGTGGAATAAAAGCAGTACCTGAGGCCAGGTGCACTGGCTCACATCTGTAACCCGGGCACTTTGGGAGGATAAGACAACATGATCACCCGAGCCCTGGAGTTCAAGACCACCCTGGGCAACATAGCGAGACCCCTTCTCTACAAAAAACTTTAAAATTAGCCGGGCATGGTGGTATGCACCTGTAGTCCCAGCTACTCCGGAGGCGGAGGCCGAAGGATTACTTGAGCCCAGGAATTCAAGGTTGCAGTGAGCTATGATTGTGCTACTGCACTCCAGCCTGACAAACAGAACGAGACCCTGTCTTTAAAAAAACAAACAAACAAAACAAATCAATGCCTGATTTATATATATTGTTGTTTGGAGGTAGCACACAGATGACAGATGGCTTTGAGCTCTTGGAGGTAAAGACCTCTGATATGTTTTCTTCCTATTCCAGACCCACAAAGCATGATGGGGTCTCAGTGGCTTCAAGGTGCCCTTCCACAATTGGGAAGGGAGGTTCTCTCTCTTGTTTAATCCAGCCTTGTCATCCTCCTCTATTTATATACCCAGGCCAAATAAGTAGCTTTGACTACCCTGTGCGGACTCAAAGCCCTTTGTGTTACCACCGTCATCTTGGCACACAGGAAATGTATATTTGTAAACAAATGTTCCCTTTCAGGGTTTTGTTTCGGCAAAGGACTTTAGCTACAGAATAAATCAGGCGAAGCAGCTAGCAAGTGGAGGGGTGACACTGAACTTGATCTCTTTGGAAGGTCTCTCGTTCTGCCTTCTCTGGAGGGTCAGTATCATGGCGCTCCCTCGTGCCCAGTTCCTGGCCGCTGGAGGGGTGACTCACTCGGGCCCTAGAGATTGTCTTTTGTGCCCTGGCCCTGGCCCTGTCCTCTCTTCTTTCAGGCTTGCACCAGAAAGAAGATTTTTTCTAGAATCCTTTGCCTAACTGAGAAACCCAAGTGTCATCCCAATCACACTGGAGTCTTACAGATGCAAATATGTAGTCCTGCAATTGAGTTTTGTGTTTTGCCTGCAGTTGGTTTGAAAACACTTCGTGCAGGTTGCTTTCATTGCATGTTGCTTCATACCCTGGGAAAGAAACTATTAGTTCTCTACTGCTGCATAACAAATTACGATAAACACAGTGGCTTAAAGTAAGGTACATTTATTACATCACAGTTTCTGTGGGTCGGGGTCTGGGTGCAGCTTAACTGGTTTCACTGCGAGGTGCGGTCAAGGTGTCGCCCAGGGCTGTGGTCTCATCCGAGGCTCAACTGGGGAAGGCTATGCTTCCAAGCTTGTGTGGGTATTGGTAGCATTTCTCTTCTTTGCAGACTGTCAGACTGAAGGCCTCAGTTTCTTGCTGGCTCTGGGCTTGCTTTTCACGTGGCTCTTTCTTTAAGGCAGCTAACAGCATGGCAGCGACTTCTTCAAAGCCAGCAAGGAGAGAGTCTCCTAACCAGATGGATATCACAGTGTTGTGTAGTATATTTACGTACACCTAATGACATATATCCCATCACCTTTACCATACTCTGTTAGTCACTGGGCCCCACCCACACTCAAGGAGAGGAGATTTATACAGGGTAAACACTAGAAGGCAGGGATCTGAGGGCCACCATAGAGTCTATCTGCTATAGAAACCCTCTTCTCTGGTTTGCTGGGCCCAGCTATTCTGGAGGCCAAGGCGGGAGGATCACTTAAGCCCAAGAGTTTGAGTCCAGCCTGGGCAACATAAGTGAAACTATCTCTTAAAAAAAAAAAGAAAAGAAAAAAGAAAACTTCTTTTCTGGTTTAATAGAAAAAATAAATTATAAAGATAAAATAAGTTATCAAGTTGTGAAATTATCAATGTATAATTGATAAATTATCAATTGGATTTGCCTTTCATAACATCTCACTATCCTTGCCCTTCGCTCTCTCAAAAGGACAAGAAAGAGTGTGGATGCCATTGAAGACTGGGAGTTTAAAAAAATAAAATAAAAATTTTAAAAATAAAAAGAAGAGTTTGGGTTGCCTTGAAATCGTCACCCTATTTCTCTGCCTCTCCTTTCTTTGCTCCAGCTCAACTGTCGATTTAACCAGTTTCCAGTAACCAGGAGGAACCCTCATGCTTTTCTCTCCCAGCCATTTGTTCAATCTGTGAAACATCCGGGCTCATCACGTTGACCTCACCGAAGTGCATTGTGAGTAATTTCTTGTCTCCTTCCGCTTCCTCCTTCCCACCTTCCCAAGGATGCCGTTCTCAGCGACGGGCTACTGTTCCTTTCAGCAGAGACCAGACTGAAAGTGAAATCAGTTTATTGGACTTACCATGGTGCAGAATGTCTTCCTCCATTATGTGTGCAGCCAGGAGGAAGGATTCCGCCTCTGTCTGCGTGCTTCTCACCTCTGGATTTGGAAATGACCATTCGTGGAGTAAATGACCCGCACACCCCGACGAGCTTCCTCTTCTGACATTCACTCAGAGCTCAGCACATGTGATCCTTGAACCTTTGGCTTCTGAAATCGATTTCCCCATCCCCTTCACTTAGAGTTAGTTCCACCATTGCTGAAATTCCTGAGTTCATCCTCTTGAAATCTTCCCTCACAAGCGATACGGGAGGAAGTTGTCAGAACTACTGGATGGCCAGACATGGTGGTTCATGCCTGTAATCCCAGTACTTTGGGAGGCCAAGGTGGGAGGACCACTTGAGGCCAGGAGTTCAAGATCAGCCTGGGCAACACTGAGAGACCCTGTCTCTACAAAAAAAAATTGCTTTTAATTAGCTGGGCATGGTGGCATGCATGTATAATCCCAGCTGCTTGGGAGGCTAAGGCAGGAGGATCACTGGAGCCCAGGAGTTCAAGGCTGCAGTGAACTATGATGGTGCCACTGCACTCCAACCTGGGAAAGAGTGAGACCCCATCTCAAAAAAAAAGAACTACTTAGATGCCTTGGAATGTAGTCAAATTATGTGCAAGCCAGGCAGAACAGCAGACAGAGGAGGCACAGTGACTGCTTGGCTCTTACAATGACCTCTTCAGCAATGGGCCTGAGGCCACTTCTCGGTACTGCCTCCTGCTGATGAAGCCTGGGCCATCCTCTGTATAAATCCCTGCTGCTTAACTCTGCTGTTGACTTCTAGACCAGCTCCATGCTGCATCAGAGAACTTGAAACGTGACAAGTGACTCTGAGGGTTGAGATATTTAATTTTTTTCATTTTGTTTAAATTTAAGTAGCCCTATGTGGCTGGTGACTCCCCTATTGTACAGTTCCAGACTGTAACCCATGCCCCTTGGGAAATAATACAAATGGTACAGTTTTCCAAAGGTAAAAAAGCTCAGCAAATGCCAACAAAGTGCTGCTAGCTCTTCTTATGGACAAAGCCATTGGAATGATCACTCTTCTAGTTCTCCCCCTTCCAAAACTCTAGGGCATCTGCCCCTTGGCACTGAACATCCTGGTAGCCATTGGGTTCAAGATCAAGCTGTCTTGATTCTTGTAATCCAGATGTTTCCTCTCAACCAAAAAGGCCCGTGGTGCCTTCTTGACTGTCACACAAAACATACCTTTCCACCGCTCCGTGTAGTATGACTTTTTGCATTCAATGTCTGTCTTGGGAAGTTTCCCCTTCACCGTGGCTTTGGGCCCTGGGGACATTTCAGTGGATGAACAGAAGAAGTGCAGAGAACAGGGTGATGAAAAGTCAGGTGCAATGACACCATCACCATTATGACATCATCGCCATTATAATGTCATCGCTATCACAGATCATCACTGTTATGGATTCATTTTTCTTCCAAATTCTTGGTTCCCATTCCTTCACTTGTGTTTAAAACTCCTTTGACTGATTGCTTACCTAATAGAAGTTTCTTTTTATGTTAAATTCCTTTGTTGGATAAAACCATAAAATAAATGGATTTATGTTTATCTGTATAAATCAGATGCACTCACATACAGCACTCCATTGTCTCACTAGTGTATACCTTTTTTTTTTTTTTGGTCTTGCTCTGTCCCCTCAGCTAAAGTGCAGTGGTGTTATCATAGCTCACTGCAACCTCAAACTCCTGGGCTCAAACAATCCTGCCTTCAGCCTCTGGAGTAGCTGGGACTACAGGCACACGCCACCACACCCGGCTAATTTTTTTTTTTCATATTTTTTGTAGAGATGGGGTCTCAGTCTTTCTCAGGCTGGTCTTGAACACCCGGCCTCAAGCCTTTGCTCCCTTTGCACCACTTTGCCTCCCAAAGTGCTAGGATTACAGGCATTAGCCACTGCACCCAGCCAGGATTTTTTAATATGTTTTAATATTTGACTTCTAGGAAAGCTGCCTATATTCGCATTACCTGGAAATGCTAATTCTTTATTCCCTCAACTCTACTTTATGAATTTGGAAGCTCCAGCCATGCCAAATGCCACCCTCAGTCTGTTAGAACGTGTGGTTTCCAGAGAAGAGAGGGACTATCTTTTCTTTCTCTGTGTCCTGGTGTTTTGAAATCTGTCATTGGCCCTCTTGGTTAAGTTAGTCATAAGATCACATGGCACTCTGTGCTGAGTTAGAACCTCAAAGAAAATCATGTTCTTTGGCACCAGTTAAGAAACTTGAGTTGGAGACCGGCTGTCGGCCAGTGGGGAGCATCTACCCTTCCTGAAACTGTGCCCCTAACAGCGGACGCACCAGGATGACCCATAAGTCAGAGACAGAGCTTCTTTGTCAAGGCAATGAGTAAGAGGACATAAAACAGGTAGGAAAAAGACTACGGAGTTCTCACCTTAGAGTTTGAGTCAGAAGCCCAGTGATGACTAAGGCATGCGGTGATTTTTTTCAGAAGTGTTTTTCAGTGTCCTATTTGGGGTTGTAATTTTTGGGACTCACGATGACCTAAATCTTGGCCTGGGACAGAGTACTAAGTGTGTTGAGTGTGTTTTACCAAGCATCCTTTACTATCCACTTTTTCAAGACTCCAGGAATATAAAAATAAAAGAGGATTCCATGCTAGCCGTTAACACTAAATTACTGGGAATTATTAGCACCTACCCATGCGGTCAGTAGGATCATGAGCTGGAGACTATATTACCCAAAATTATGGTGTTCAGAAATGATTCCTGAAGCCAGGTGCAGTTGTGTGCACCTGTAGTCCCAGCTACTCAGGAGGCTGAGGCAGGAGGATCACTTGAGCCTGGGAGTTTGAGGCTACAGTGGACTATGATCGTGCTTGTGAATAGCCCCCCTGCACTCCAGCCTGGACAACAGAGTGAGACCCCATCTCTTAAAGAAAAAAATGTTCCTGGAGTTTCTGGAATACACAGTAGAAATCTAGAAAAACCAGAGGCTTCCAGCCAACACAAAGAAAGAAACTAATTAAAGCCTAGCTGGTTTTAACAATGTGTTATCCATGATTTTGTAACAAAGTATCCCAAAATATAGCGGGCTGGTTTGATTTGGCCCGCGGACTGCAGTTTGTGGGTCCTCTCTCTGACCAGCTGCAGCGCGCAGGCCAGCCCCGGGAGGTTGGTGTCAGGGGGCGGGCCTCGGAGTGGGCCTCGGAGTGGGCCTCGCAGAGTGGGCGGGGCAGAGGGTGGGGCTTCGCGACGCGAGCGTGGTTGGGAGGAGCGGTCTGGGATTGGTCCTCTGCGGCGCCTAGAGCCCGCCTCATTTCGGCGCTCAGCCAATCAGTCCGTCGCTGCCGCTTCGCCCCGCCTCGCGCCGTCGTCCCAGTCACGCTGAGAGGGCGCTAAGCTTCCCTGCGCTCCCAGCGCGCACTTCCGGGCACGGTCGGGGCGTGACGTCGGGAGGAGGGCAGGTAAGTGCGGGCCAGCATTGTAGGGCCGTGGGGTCAGGCGGTCTCCTCACCCTGACCTCGGAACCTCCAGGTGTGGACGGGTGCCCCGGGGAACGCAGAGCTCTGAGGACGCGACCTAGATGCTCAGGGATACTCCAGGTCCCACCGGCGACCCCCGACCCAAGTGCCCGGGCCGCGGCCGCAACCCAGCCCCGACCCATATTATGCCTGAAGGGCCCCTAGGTCTCCTCATCTGGAAAATGGGATCAATAACCCCTGTCTCGCCGCGTTGTGGTGAAGATTTTGTAAAATGATGCTTTAAAACGGTGGGCATGAGATATACCCAAACTGCCAACGTTTTTACTTGGTGTCAGTAAGTTAAAGTGTTTAGAACAAAACCTGAGTCTTGACAGCAACCTTAACAGGTTGATACTTTTATAAACCTTCCTTTTACAGATGCAGAAAGTGAGGCTTGGAGAGGGTAAACAGTTTGCCCAAAGTCAGGCAGCTGGGAAGCGACAGAGTAGATAGAATTCCAAACCCAAGCTGCAAACCCTGGACAAATGAGGTCAATAATTACTCTTGACACCAAAGACCAGAGATTTTTCTATACATCCACCCTGTAGTCCTGTCTGCCATTCACTGGTGGGTAATAAAATCATCTTAAGATACACACACCCCCAAGCTCCTGTAAACTGAGTATTTACTCCGTGCAAGTACTTCCTGTGTGTTGTTTCATTCACAGCAACCCTAGAAAGTCAATCCTGTCATATTCACTTGATGAGGAAATTGGAGCTCAGGGAAGTGCAGATAGTGACCAAGGTCGCCCAGCTTGATGAATGGAGCTGGGATTTAAGCCCACGGAGCTGTGACCCCCAAAGCCTTGGAGGGTACTTAGCTATTTTGTTGGCAAAAGTATTTTTAGATTGGAACCGGACCTTAGAAAAATCCTATCCAAGGAGCACACTTTACAGATGACGGATCCAAGACGAAGAGAGGTTCAGGGTGGTAGGGGACGAGTTGACATCCGGGGCTTTGCACCGCCACCCACCCCCACCGCACTCCGTCAGATGCTCTGCCATCAGCTTCTGATGCTGTGCAAGGTTCTTAAGCCCCCAGCGTCCTCATTTGTCACCTGGAAATAATGGTGACATAATTCAGACTAAATGAAACAATTATATCAGACTCTTCGCAGCACATGGCACACAGTGAATGTTAGAGAGTGTTCAGGTAACTTGATAGAAAGCTAATCAGAGACCACGCTTCCTGGTTCTTGAGCAAGGACTGGTGAGCTAGGCCTGCAGTCCAAAACCAGCCCATCCCCTGATTTTTGTCCAGCACTGAAGCTAAGACTGGCTTTACATTTTTACATGGCTTGGGGAAAATCAACAGGAAAATGATATTTTGTGTCAGGTGACAATTACGTGAAATTCAAATGTCTGTGTCCTTAAATAAGATTTTATTAGAATGCAGCCATGTCCATTCACTTACACATTGTCTTGGGCTGCTTTCTAGCTACGAGGACAGAGTTGAGTTGTTGGGACAGAGAGAGTCTGGCCCAAAAAGCCACAAATAGTTAGCCGTTGACTGAAAATGTGCCGTTCCCCATTCTAGAATACATTTCAGTGCCCCACAGTGCTTCTCTTTAGTGTAAACTAGAACGTCCTTCTAGTTTAGACTTTTCTCCTGAAAATGTCTTTTCCAAACATGGGAGGGGTCTCCCCACCTCCGGTTTAAGGAGCCCTTGCATTTGATATCTGTGTCTCCTGCACTGGTTCTTATGGAACCTCTATCGGTTATATCAGTTGTTCCCTCAATCAGCAGTTATGAGGGGCCACGCGCTGTCCTAGGTGTTGGGGATACAGCACAGCGTGAACTAGCTGGAAAAACAGATAAACAGACGCAGGGTGATATGATTGGAACTCTAGGGAAGAAGTGACTGTAGGTGGGGGTGTCGCATGAGGCTTCTGACAGGTGATGTGTAAACCAACACCTATAACAAAGAGGCAGCTGGTGGAAGCCCAGTCAAGGCAGAGGAACAGCAGGGGCGGCCTGGTTGCACTTGGCCTTTGAAGACAGCCAGGAAGCCAGTGTGGCTGGAACAGAGCGAGTGAGAAAGAGAGGGCTAAGAGGTGGGCTTAGAAAGGCAGGCGGGGGCTTCATAGGCTGTGGGGAGGGGTTTGGCTTGATTGTAAAAGCGGCAGGAATCTCAGGGGCAGGGGGTTTAAGCAGGAGAGTGAAGCATCCATTCAAATTCTGAGAGAGCCCTCTGGCTGCCATGGGGTGAAGGAGTGTCAAGGGCAGAGTCGGGAGACAAGAGAAGACAACACTGGGGTCAAGGTGGGCAGTGATGCAGCCTGGACCAGGATGGCACAATGGAGGGATGGAAAGTGTCCCGTGTGACGTATGTGTTGGCTGTAGAGCGGACAGGACACTCTCTCTAAACAGACACACAGCTCTTTGGATGCCTGGGGGGAGTCTCGTCTGAGCCAGCACCACCACGCGGCACACGTCATCTTCGCAGGGAAGCCCGTGGACCCTCTGCCAGGCTCCGCAGGAGGACAGGGCTGGGCGGTGGATTCAGAAGCCAATATCAGATCGGCCGCCCTGAGGGTGAGGACCAGTAGGCAGCCCCCAAGATGGTGAGTAGACAGCCTTGTGTGCCCTGGGCTTCTCTCCTGGTCTTTGGTGGGCGCCAGAAGTAGCCACTTTGTTCCCCCTCCTAGAGACCCCTCCTCCCCTCCTGGAGCTCTCAGATGATCACATCAAACTTTGGATCATGAGCTTTTGGCGCAGTGGTTCTAAAACTTTGCTGTGCACTGAAATCACCCAGAGGATCTTTTTTCCTTTTCTTTAGTTTTTTTTTTGATTTTTTTTTTTAATGAGGTGAAATTCACATAGCATAAAATTAACCATTTTAAGCCCGGCACAGTGGCTCATGCCTATAATCTCAGCACTTTGGGAAGCTGAGGACAGAGGATCACTGGAGTTAGCCAAGCGTTTGAGACCAGCCTGGGCAACATAGCAAGACCTCATCTCTACACAATATTTTTTGAAAAATTAGCAGGGTGCCGTGACACATGTCTGTGTCTGCGGTCTTGGCTACTCAGGAGGCTGAGGTGGGAAGATCGCTTGAGCCCAGGAGTTTGAGGCTACAGTGAGCTATGATCTCACCACTGTACTCCAGCCTGGGCAACGGAGCAAGAACTCGTCTCTAAAAAAATAAAAATTTAAATTAAAAAAAAAATCATTTTAGAGCATGCAATTCTGCAGCATTTCGTACAATTTCAGTGTTGTGCAACCACCACTTCTGTCTAATTCCAAAATATTTTCATCCCCCTAAAAGGAAGCTCTGTCCCCATGAGCAGTCACTTTCCATTCCTCCTCCCTCAGCCCCTGACAACCACTAATGTGCTTTCTGTCTCTGTGGATTTGCCTGTTCGGAACATTTCGTAGAAATAGAATCACACACTAAGTAGCCTTTGGTGTCTGGCTTCTTTGAGCATCATGTTTTCACGGTTCATCTACATTGTATAATGAGTCAGCGCATTACTCCTTTTTATGGCTGAGTTATACTCCATCTGATGGCCAGACCACATTTTGTTGGCGCCTTCCTCTGTTGGTGGACTTTGGGGCTTTTCTGAATCGTGCTGCTCTGAACATTCGTGTACCAGGATTTGTTTGAGCTCCTGCTTCCCAGGCAGCTTTTTAAAAGCCCAGTGTCCAAGAAGGACAGCCCGAGCCGGTGCACTGTCCAGAGAGCCTCTGGGGGTGGGGCCCAGGCACCCCTATTGTAGAAACTCCTCCGGGGGTTGTAGCAGTAGCCAAGTTTGACAGCCACTGCTTTGGTGGGTCTTTAAGCCTATTGAGCGGGCATTTACGAAGAACAGCTCTCGCAGCCGGGGTCTGGGTTCTTTCACGAGACCTGTGCTTTAGCTATATTACATGTGTATTCGCACAGTCGCAATGATAAATTTTTCTTACTGTCAGTCACATTCCCAAAAAAAGTGTGAAAGTCACCGCTGTAGGAGAGTCTGAACCTCATGGCATTTCCAAAGTGATGACAATTGGTTTTTCGCCCGAGCGGCCAGTCCCTGGTCAGACACCAAACCCAGCACCATCCCCTAAGATGTCCCCAAGTCTCCCTCATTCAGGTCCTGCCCCATGAGGCCGCACACGTAGGTGTCCTGGAGAGCTGTCACTGAGTCACGTCTCTCTTTTGCTTTCCAGGGTGAAAGGAAAGGTGTAAACAAATACTACCCTCCGGATTTCAACCCCGAAAAGGTAAGGGGAGGGCTCCCTTCTCCAAGTCCACGATGGCAAAGAGACCCACGCCGTCCCCTCCTGGAGTCAGAGCCTTGGCAGTGGAAAGGCAGGAAAGATCCCCTCAGATCTTTCTGCTTCCACTTGTGGCATGAATCTCAGGGCTGTTGTCACTCTTGCGTGAGAAATGTGACCCTCGTCAGTGACCTTGGCTCTGTGCCTGACACTGGGTTTAGTGTGTTTATAGCAGAGCTGAGGATGAGGCTGAGGACATAGGTTAGGGTCAGGTCCCCTGGCCCTCCCAGTTCCAGCTCCTCTGGCATCCTGGCTGTCCCCTCTGCCTGGAACCTCTTCCTTCTTTCGACCACACTCTTTGACTTCCTTCAGGTTTTTCCTCACAGAGGTCCTTCCTGACCACCATCTCATTCTCTGTCATATCACCGAGTGCTTTATTTATCTTCATAGCTCTTATAACTCCTGGACGTATCCTTCATTTATTTGTGTACTATCCATCTCCCCCTCTAGAATGTCCGCTCCACAAGGGCAGAGATGTTTGTCTTGTTCTTAGCTATGTGTCCACACACAGTAGGTGCTCAATAAGGGCCCAAGTGTCCCAGCTGTGTGGTCTTGAGCACAGGACTTGGCCTGCCTATGCTGAAGTTTCCCCTCATGTCAGAAGTGGGGGCTAAAACAACCTGACCTCACACAATCGTTGGGGGATTAAAATGCGGTGACTCACATAAAGTGCCCGATGAGCATTTGCCAGTATTATCGTCTCACATAACCCTCCCTACAAAACCGGAGGTAGTGATGATCCTTATCCCCAGGTGACAGGTTGGAGAAACTGACTCAGGAAGGCAAAAAGTGAGATCACTTGCCCGGGGTCACGTGGCTCTCTCAGCTCATAAATGGAAGAGGGGCCACTCAGATTCACATATTCCTGATTCGAAGCCCACATGCTTCACCGAGACCTCAGTGCCTCCTGTGTTGCTGTGAACTCCATCCTGCAGACATAAGAACGAGGCCTGGCCCAACCCGTGAGGCCCTTGTCCCAAAGCTGTGGGGATGACACAAAGAATGAACTCCCCTGGCTCAGCAAGCGCTAATCTGTTCCCTTGTCCTTTCCACACAGCATGGCTCTCTCAACCGATACCACAACAGCCACCCCCTTCGGGAGCGGGCTCGGAAGCTGTCCCAAGGCATCCTCATCATCCGGTAAGGCCCTCATATCACCTGAGGACCCTGCCTTCGTGCCACCTAACGACAGTCTCAAGGAGAATTCAGCACCCCCAGTTGGCCCAGTGCTGCACGGTCTTAATTCCGTAGAGCAAAAAGTCAACTGTATCAGTCAGCTGTTGCTGCGTAACAAAACAATAAGCATTGGTTATTGCTCACAAGTCTGCAGCTCAACCAGATGCCTCTGCTGGGCATGGAACAGCTGGGCTGGGCTGAGCTGATCTGGGCTGGGCTTGTTCACATGTTTAGGGCTTGGGGACTGGCTGGTCTAGCAGGGCCTTGACTGTACAGCTGGGCTCTGCTTCACATTGTGTCACATCCTCCTACAGACTAGCCTTGGCTTGCTCGCATAGCAGTGTCAGGGTTCCAAAGTAGAAGCATGCAAGGCCCCTTGAGGCCAAGACCCAGAAGTGGCACACCATCTCTTCCGTCTCATTCGTTGCGTACGAGGCTTGCGATTGCAGGGGTGGAACAGTAGACTCCAGCTCTCGATGAGAAGAGCTGCAGAGTCACATTGCACAGGGCATGGGTATGGGGAGGATTAAGAGTCGGCCATGACTGCAGTCAAGCCAGGCCCTTCCCTCCGGGGTCTCCTCTTGTCTCTGGCCAGCACCTGGCAGGTCGTCCCTGGCAGGGAGCAGAAGGCAGTTTGTTTGGCCCCTCCACCCTGTCTCCCCTCCTGTCTCCCCTCCCTCGTGGGCTCTGATCTCAGTCTCCCGGGTCTGCCCTGGGCCTGAGCAGAGAGGTTCCAGCGACAAAATCGTCAGAGGCAGGAATGTCTATAGAAGAAGAATCAGGATGCACAGTCCCAGCAGTGGCCTCGGGAGCCACAGGGCTGAAGGACACCTCAAAACTCCCGCCTGATCTCAACACTGCAGAGCCAATCAGACTTGCCCGCCTCTGTCCTGCACACACCACTTCCAGCCTCCCTGTTTGCCGAACCCTGATCTCATCCGTGCGGTGTCTTTAATTCAACTCGTTTATTACTTAATGGTTTTGGTTTAAAAGGAAAACCAAGATCATATGTTGTAGATGGAACTGTGGAAAAGAAATACAGAGACAGGCCAGGTGTAGTGGCTCACACCTATAATCCCAGCACTTTGGGAGGCTGAGGCAGAAGGATCACTTGAAGCCAGGAGTTTGAGACCAGCCTGGGCAACATAGCGAGACCCCATCTCTACAAAAAATAAAAAATTAGCCAGGTGTGGTGGTGTGCGCCCGTTGTCCCAGCTACTCAGGAAACTGAGGGTAGAGGATCACTTGAGCCCAGGAGTTCAAGGCTGCAGAAAGCTATGACGATGCCACTGCACCCCAGCCTGGGTGACAGAGTGAGACTTTGTCTCTAAAAAAAATTTAATTTAATTTAAAAAAATGATAATAAACCAGTGATAATACCACTACTTTTCTTAACTCTAATCAGACACCACTGCCTGGGGACAACGCCCTGAGCCCATTTCCTCTTCTGTTCAGAAGCCGGTTTGGCTGATGTGAGGTGTTGAAGACACAGTGGCACCCTAAGGAGACTCTCCCCGGACTCGGCCAGTTGGTTAGAGAGTGTGACAGGGAGAGGACCTGCTCAGTTACAGGAGCGGCCGTGATTCTTCATCCTCTCGTGCCTGTGCCCTTTGCAGTGTGACTACAACTCGTTTGCAACTCCCACCGAGAGGGGGAGTCTGTCGCCGCACCCCTCAAATCACAACTGCGGCCAGAGTCGCAGGCGTGGGGACCTAGGGAGAGCCCAAGTGCACAAGCGCAAATAAGGTCTCATCTGTCTTTACAGGTTCGAGATGCCATACAACATCTGGTGTGACGGCTGCAAGAACCACATCGGCATGGGTGAGCTCTGCCTGCCCCTGGCCTTTCCGTCTTGCATCAGGTCCCTTAACTGCTGGGCACCGTGACACACTGATTCCACCAGGGCTTCCAGATCAGCTGTCAGGGAGGGGACAGGCACCCAAGTGACTGGCAGGCTGCGTGCAGAGTTTCTCTGCAGAGCAGTGAGGAAGTCAGACTCTGGATTCAAATCCTATCTCTGCCTCTTTATAGCTGGGTGAACCTCAGCAAGCGACACTGAGTCTCTGTGTGCCTCAGTTTACCCATCGGTAAAATTCCAGTGGCAATGAAATGCCACCTCTACCTGTCCCCCGTCCAGGGAAACGATGCTGGGGGTGGCCTGAGTCTGAGCCTCTGTGCTTTCTTTCCCCTCCCAGGTGTTCGTTACAACGCGGAAAAGAAGAAGGTTGGCAATTACTACACGACCCCGATCTACAGGTGAGGGCAGCTGGGCGATGTCTCAGGAACAGGTGGGGTAGCCACGGGGTGAGAGGGCTATAGAGGAGTCTGAGTAGGACATACCCTCTTGGCCATTCCCTGTGAGACTATCCTGGAAACTGTTCTGGTCTGTCAGTCAGGGCATGTCCGTCTGCCTAGAACCCTCCATGACTCCCACCTTCCTCCATAAAAGCCCAGGTTCCCCCCCTGGCTCCCAAGGCCCTGCACACTCTGCTCGTCCCTTCCTTACCTTCACCACCTCACTCACTCTGCTCCAGCCACATAGCCTCCTCCTCTCTGTCCCTCACACACCCCAGGGACACGGCCCTCTCTGGGCCTTCCACCCCCAGGTAGCTGCAAGGCCCCCTCCCTCAACTTGGGTTTCTGCTCAAACACCAGCCCGCAGAACTTTTCTAAAACGGCACTCGTCGCCCGACACTGTGGTAGTTTGTCCCCTTGCTGCGGAGGGGCCCCATGCTGGAGCACCAGCCTCGCCAAGAGCAGGCTGGCTGCAGTGTCCCCGGCAGCGGGCACCGAGCCTGCCACAGCCCAGCCTGTCTTGGGAAGGCTTCTTGAATGAGTGAATGAATGAATGAATGGAGACAAATGAAGGGATGAACAAGTGAACAAATGGATGAATGATGAATGAACTAATGAATTAGCAAGTGAATGAATTAATAAACTAACAAACGAATTCATAAATGAATGGATGAATGAACAAATGAACGAATGGATGAGCCAGCTTGATCCTCTGAAGGAAGGTGGGTTGTGGGGTGGCGGGACGCGTCCCTCTCGCGCCCGGCTGTCCTCCCAGATCTGAGCCCGGTGCGCAGTAGGTGCTCAGTGAACTCATATTGAATGACGTGAGTCAACTGAAGGAAGCAGACAGAGGTGGCAGGTGTCCTGGGGCACGTCCTCGGCCTCCTGACTCCCACCTGCCGCTCCCCGCCCAGGTTCCGGATGAAATGCCACCTCTGCGTCAACTACATCGAGATGCAGACAGACCCCGCCAACTGCGACTACGTGATCGTCAGCGGCGCCCAGCGCAAGGAGGAGCGCTGGGACATGGCGGACAACGAGCAGGTGCTGACGACAGGTGAGCACCACCTGCCCGTACGCCCGGCATGTCCCAGGCCAGCCTCACCGGGCCACAAAGGCCCAGCTGAGCCCCGGTCGTTGCAGAGCACGAGAAGAAGCAGAAGCTGGAGACGGACGCCATGTTCCGGCTGGAGCATGGGGAGGCCGACCGCAGCACGCTCAAGAAGGCGCTGCCCACCCTGAGCCACATCCAGGAGGCCCAGAGCGCCTGGAAGGACGACTTTGCCCTCAACAGCATGCTGCGGAGAAGGTTCCGGGTGAGCGGGGCTGCATCCCGGGGCCGGGGAGACCGCACGGTGGGTGGGCCGAGACCCGGTCCACATCCTAGCTGTGAGCAGCTCATTGCACTCTCTGAGCCTCAGTTTCCCCAACTGCCGCACGGGGACCACGCCCCGTGTTGATCCATCCCTGCTGCCGTGATAAAAATACCATAGACTGGGCAATTTGTAAGCAACAGAAACGTGTTGCTCCCGGTTGCAGCTGGGAAGTCCAAGACCACGGCGAGGGCGGATTCAGCGTCTGGGGAGGGCCCTTCCTTGTAGACACACCTTCTCGCTGCCACCTCATAGGGTAGGAGGGACGAACAGGCGCCCTCAGGCCTCTTTTATAAGGACACTAATCTAAGAATTGGGTGGGAGGGACACAAACGTTGAGACATCGAGACCACAGCTCACCTCTGCTGTGGGAGGTGAAGTGCCTCACCTGGTGGCCCTCAGAAAGCACACAGTCCCTGTCCCTAGAGAAGTGGGCCTTCGTCTTCAGCACAGTGTCAAAGGCCGGGCCAGCCCCTGACACATCTCCTGGGCCCTCTTAACCATCCTGAAATGCAGTCCCTGTCGTCAGCCCTCCCCTCTGTCATTTCCAATATCCACATTCTGGAGTGCCCTAAATGTGACAGACAGGGAAAGTCATCTATAACAAAACCCAGTAATACGGACTGCAGGATGTGACCGCCAGACTCAGGCCACCAGGGGCGCTGTCCTGCTGCAGAGGACCCCCCCCCCCCCGCCCCAGGGCATTGCTGAGAGTGACCACAATGGCTGCCAACGTTGAGGCAAAAACACTTGGTGAAGCTCCGTCAGGATGAGTCCGGGCCTGACTCACAGAGTATCACATAAAGGGGGTGTCACCCTCCAGGGTGTCGTCCTGCAGGC